AGTGAATTTGCAAAAAATTGCGAGCACTAAACAAAGAAACAACCTTGTAAATCAGGCTATCAAGTCATAAAAATTATTTTAAACCACTTTGTTCGATAGCTAATATTGGCTCGAAAAAAAGATGAGAAATCTTGAAACAACCTTTTCAAAATTTTGAAACATTGAAACGCTTGTCTGAAAAAAAATCGGAACAAACCTCTGAAGCAAGCAATTCAATTACTGAAAATTTGAAACAATTCAAGTTGTTCTGATAGCTTCGATAAATTACCGAAAAAAAATCAAGACCTTTATAAGAGTACTCATTGCGTTCATTACCCTTAAAAACTTATCAGAATCAATCTGCGGCTGTGCTATCTGATAAATTGACATTCAGATTCTCAAAAACACTTGCGAATTCTTTTTTTTGTATTTTTTGGTAGTTAAAAGAATCAATTTTTTTGCAAGCAAATCCGTGGAATTCGACCGGTCTCTCCTGGAACCAAACATACAGGTGACACTTTGGAAGTTTGAGTGCTCTAGATCTTACCGTGATTTCTCCGCTGCAATAGTCAATTAATCAAACTTAGAGAATATTTCTGACTTTTTACTAACGTTTTTAAATTTTTTGTGCTGATGAAGAAAGGAATTGAATTTTAAGGACAGTAACAACCAAAAACAAAAATCTAATAATCAAACTTAGTAGCATTAACGTACGATTACAAAACAATTCCCTTCCATTAATTTTCACCAACTAAACAGTCCAAATTGTGTCCAGCGCATTTTTTCAAGATCTATAAAAACTTATCTTTTCAAGTTTCAGCTTTCCAGTAACCTAAATGGGAAAACAAATCAAAGAAGTTCAATCGATCTTCTTTCAAAACTTGAAATTTTAAGCAAAAGCAAGAAAAACAGCTATTCTGATTTAAAAAGTCTCAAAACATATAATTTTTGGGTTTTCGAAAATGGGTGAAAATCACAATTAGAAATTGTTTTTACTATCAATACAAAATGGAAAATCAAGAGCGTTGTTTTCAATATCTTCAAGACTAGTCAACCAAAAACAGGCAATGAGGCACTAAAAACTCCTTAAGTTGTTATCCGGAAAGTGTAAATGTTAAGGTGAATTTTCAAGGTAAACTTGGGTTAACTTAAGGTAAAAACCAAAGTAATTTCACCTGAATTTTTAATGTAAAATATAGGTGAGTTAAGGAAATAGTTTAGGTGGCTTAAGGTAGTTTTACTTATTTAGTTAAGGTAACTTTTTAAGGTAAATTTGGGGTGACTTGAGGTAAAAAAAATAAGGTAATTTCGCGCAGATTTTAAGGAAAAGTTGAGGCGCGTTATGTTAGTAGTCGAGGTGGATTGAGGTAAGGTTAAAGTGAGAACCTTTTGCCTCAACTGTTGAGTTATTTTTGGATACTTTTTAAGGTAAATTTACGTCCACTTTTTTTAGAGTGTATCAGCTTCAATTTCCAGATGTTAGGCTCAAGAATAACTTCAAAACCAATTTTACTAAAAATATTCAGCGTTTACAGTTTGTATTTTGGTATCATTTCCAATTGGGAGAAATAACTCTACCAGGAAGCAAACCCCCACTTTTAGGGAATCGAACCTAGAATAAAATAACCTTCAACTCTTGAGATTTAATTTCAACTCAAAATTTTTTGCGCACATACGATTGCTCCAGATGTTATCACCAAGATTCCTTATGAAAATTCGGAAAAAATTGCTTGTACTCTAGAAACAGTTTTTTTTTGCTTGCGATTTTAAAAAGGTTACTTTTTTTGTGAAAATATAGTTTTTGAGCCTAAAAAATCGAAAATGTTTGATGGAAAACTAAAAAAACTGCATAGCTTACCGATTTAAACTTCAAATGGATGCATGAATGTAACTTAAAAACAATTTTACAAAATCGTTCAGCGTCTTGATTTTTGTTTTACGCGGCTATTTACAAAAGCAATTCACCTGAGTTCTTCCATACTTCCAAAAATCAAACTGATGATCACATAACAGCCGGTTTTCCTAAAGAAATTTCATCCCAATAATGTTTTGTTCGTAAATAATTTGTCTAGATGTTATCGTGAAGGGTCCTGATAAAATTTTATGAAAGCGCACCATTGCAATCTATGTTTTCGAAAACAAATTTACTGAGCGGTTGAAAGAACAATTCTTGACATCTGTTATCCTCGCAAAAATGAACGGGAAAAAATCTCAAATTTTGCTTTTCTTTTGGATCCAAATTTTTTTTTATCGACCATTTTTTATCGACCCATTAGCCTGGAATTAGTGAAAAAACTGAACAGGACGAATTCGAGGCTCGACCTAGAAACAAAGAATCCCCACCCTAACCTTTCAGCCACGGACTCTTAACATACGGCAAAAAAAGAAGGTTCATACAAAACACATCGCACGCAAGACTAAATTGATCTGTAAGAAAAATGCTTTTTACTGGAATCGAATCACAAATTTCTAGCATCCAAGTCGACTTCACTTTTAAGCTTTTATAATGACGCTCGAAAAACAGCAGCACTAGCCGCTCATAAAACGGAGAACATACTATTCAACTATTGAACTGATAATACTATGCAGCAAAAAAGCCACCAAATGATCAAATTTATTTTCGAATTGAATTGCGCAAAAAATCTACTCCTATTGTAACATAACACTTGCAAGTTTGGTTGTGTAAGAACTGGATCAAAAAAGAATTCAGAAAATTTGCAGGTAATTTTGAAAAATCAAGTCAATTTTGGAAGATTCAATTCAATTTTGAAATTTTGTTAAGAGCGTAGTTTATCTTCCGTCTAGTGATCCAAATTATTTAGAATTGGGTTTAAAATGCAACTTAAAACCAAACTATAGAAAAAACTGAGTCAAATTTTACACTGCGGCTAAGCCGAGCCTCGCACCACATGCTATGCTGAAAATTGAAAGTATAAAATAAGAAAAACTTGAAAATTCTGTTTCGCGAGTTCGTTTAATCATTAGCAAACAAACAAATAAAATATCAACAAGCAACAATTTTTGTCCAATACCAACTAACTTGACTGCATTGCTTTAAATTGCTCATAAGACAAGCGATGAAACCTTTGTAAACCACACAAAATTTTTAAATAATCCAAAAACCACAATTTTTTCTGGAAATAAAAATTTATGAAAACAATCAAGACGAAAACAAACAAAATGAATCAAAAACAAAAAAGCTTATAAAGAAAAATCAAAATATACCAAACTAAAAATCGATCCTTCATTTGAAAAATAAATCCTTACCCAAAAAATCAAAATCTAGAAACTAATTTTGATTGGTTCAACAAGTTCCCAGAAAAAGCTCGAGAAAAACTAAGAACAAAAACGATACCACCACACTGTTTTAAAATTTTAAACTGTGCAAAATTATAGAATAAAAAAATATATTGAGGACAAATAGCACTCAAGATGAGTTTAAAACATTTAAACAACTCTTCCAGAAAAAAGAAAGTTCAAAAGTTACTGAACTGATGTTTTTGGATTTATTAGCACTTTACACATGCTTAATCTCACACGCATCAAGCAAAACAGCAACCTTCCCAAACAATTCGAGGTACCAAGCAAGAAAAACCAAAAAAACCTATCAGCTGTTGACTAAGAATTTGTTACACAAAAATTATATGGAACACAAGGCGAAAACTTCACAAACACAATTAACTCACCAGAAAAGACATAATAAATAAAAGCCGGTTACACAATCAAAACTTAAAAAATTATGCCGACCAAATTTGTTTCACAAATTTAAAAATCGGAAGTTTTTTTTGGTATAATTTTTTCATATTAATTGAGGGTATGTGAGGTCGGCTTAATTTTTTATACGGTTGAACAATTATCAAATTAAATCAACAAATTAAAGAAAAAGTTATGAGTAAGTCGACAGAGTTATGGCTGAAAGACCTCCAGCACCGACAATCAGCTGAAAATTTTAGGTACCGAAATCTTTTTTTTTTACTTTACATGAACTCTTAACTTCCTCTAACTTCCTCTCAGATGCTATTGATTGCCATTTAACCATTCTGCAAATTAAGTTATTCACGAGAGAAATGTCTAGTGAACGGTTGCTATACCCTTGATTATCGTTAGGGTTTATAATTTTTCCAGCGAAAAACAAAAAAACTTTGATAGGTTATTGACACTTCGTTCGTTGACACTCAAAATTAATTATCCTAGAAGTAGTGAATTTAAAAAAATTAAAAATGAAACTTTTTTTGGAAATTTTAAACGATGATGAATTAAGAGTTTTCAGTTAACAGCTAAAACTCTATCTGTAGAAATTGGCTAATCGACCACTCAAATTGCTTGTTCATGTTTATTAACACTGATAACTTGATATTTAATGGTCATAGTTAAAATTCTCAAAAAGAGCATGATTTTCCTATAATTTGTCCAGATCGAATTCAAACCATCTTGCCATCATTTCATTTATATTAACAGGAACAAACAAAATCTGATAAAAACTGCGTGTATCAGTTTAACTAAAAACAGTGGCTTACAGTCAAATCCTTCTTAAATGCTGGAAAAATTTCATTACGAGGGGAAATTTATGAGCCCGTGACAGGAACTCGCAATATGAGGTTGCATTCAACTTTTATACATTCTTACCTTGAAAGATTTTCTGTAAAGACAGAAATTTAAGAACACATGCAATTCATTTACTCGAGCACATTCAATGGAGCATTCATTCAATGGAGCACATTTACTAATGAGGTTTGCTACGCGCTCAGACTTCTAAACGAGTACGCATCCATACGTTGTCTCTTGTTATACCGCCCAGCAAAAAAAAAAGAAAAAATTCATAATCTTGAGTTAGAAATTAAGTTCGTTTCGGTTTTACCTGTGCATTAAATGCAACTTAGCTTGTTAAAAAATGGATCAACAAAAAATTTATTATGCGATGACATCTACTCTCCTTAAACTATATCTGAAAAGAAATTTCACTATAATCTATAAACAAGTTGTTCCAAAATTTGGCGATGAAAAACCAGCCACTTTGTTTCAACTAACTGGTCGATAAATTTAGATTGCACAAGTGTTAATAAGTCAGTATGCCGAAAAGAGAAACAAACAAATAAACAAACAAACAGAATGAACTCGGGAAACTAGAGCCGAGCTTTCAGAATGTCATGATGGAATTAGAATGCGAAAGGATAGTAGTGCGTTTAAAATAATCTACAAAATTAAGACCTATCTACAAAAAGCATCTACTTTTAACTTACTAGGTCGTCCATTCATGAACAATTATTGGTAAATTGGATTGCAGTCAACATAACACAATAATGAGCACCCCTGCATAATGCAGATAGTTTGTTGACATAATCTGAGCACCTTTTAGTATAGTAGACAATGCTGATTACCTTTTCCCTAACAACCCCAGACCTTCAAAAACTTCGATACAATATGATAAACTGATCCCTTATCGCCCCAATCTAACAATGCCAGATTTGAATTATTTTAATCTAAATCATTTTGAACTCAAGAATCCATTGTTCATATTATTTTTGAGACCAGTTATTCATACATGTATCAAAGCTTCAAACTCTCCCTTTTCGGAGTCTTAAACCTAACTGAAATTCATTTAATGCGACAAGAAGTAAAAACTTATATTTCAGATATCCGAACTTGAAGAAAAAATAGCAGAGAATAGGGTAATAGGGTTAGTGAAAAGACGTCTTTGACACTGTGTAACCTGTTGAAATGAGCTGAATGATTAAAATATGAGTCATTGTCCCAATTTTAGCAGAAGGTCGAAGTCAACAAAAAAAATAATAAAGACGAGACGACAATGACTAGTAACTGCATGTTTGCAACACAAGTTTGACAAAAAAAGGAATAAAAATGGAGCACGCATATTGACAATGGATAGCAGAGGCCTTTTATGGTCTCACAATTCGAAACCGTAAGGTGGTTTTTCAAAAAGAAACTACCCGAAGAATTGAAAACGTGACCTAAAATGTACCACCCAACATCAAAACAGAAGGATTGCCACATGTTAAGTTCACATATAACGAAACTGAACTAGAAACAGCTATGTCAGTTTCATTATTTTCCAACAAGCTTTTTCTGACCTTTTCCAGTTTCAACTCATACTTTTTTCCAATTCTTCCTTGCCACACTCCTCATTCAAATCATCCGCTATTGACACTTGAGTTGCCGCCTTCACTTTCTCTTCTGGTATCACTATTCCCAATAGAGAGTGACTTTCTGTCACACCATTGCAATTTATACTAGCTTCTTCTGGCGATGATTGGCTCCTCTTCGGGACAATGAGGCAGTCCAGATCCTCCAGGACATTTCCACTGGAATCGGACACCTTCTTCAGAGGCGAGTGGTCCTCTATGTCGGTGGGAGAGTCCGGCTGGTTTAGTTGCTCCTGCTGTTCCAGCTTCTTTTCGTCTGCTTCTAGCTCTGAGAGTGCTTCTCGACGTTGGAAGTTCCTGATCTCTCTTACTGAGATGGGTTTTAGAGGTAGACCAATTAGTCCTGCTAGTGTGAACGTCACACTAGAGGCCATGAAAAGTGCACCAGAAGAGCCAAGCACGTTCCCGATTATGCCTGAAAACAAATATATGCGACACTCCCTTACGAAGGATACCGCTGCGATTTGACGCAAGAATTTCTTGTCCCTTTTGAATCACAGAAACTAACAATGGCGCTTTTTTACTCACTGGCTAGGGGAAGCCCCAGGAGTGCGGCGATGCCCTGGAAGAAAAGGACAATACCGAAGCCACTCGTCAGGTTCTCGAGACCTACCAAAGACAGCAGCGCCAGAGAGCGAAGACAGCTGCTGGAGGCTACACAAAACATCTCTTTCAAGGACTTCTTTTAAAGGAAGATTTCAACTTACCACTAGGAGAATCCATAGACAAAGACTTAAAAAGTGTTTTAAAAAAAAAATCTCTGGAATTAAAGCCATCATAAGTATTAGAAAAAAAAACATTTTGGCGATTGCAGTTGAACTATCTTAGCATTTTGCATGTCATAACCTAGTCTAAACAGTATATTAACCAAATTCCAAGTTGAACATCAATCGAAATTAACGAATCTCTCATCTGTTAACATTGAATTATAATACTTCCGTTGTAAGGTCTCTTTCTTTGAATTAGTTCAATTCTCAGAGCGACTTTATTCATACGTTCTATAAGTCTAATTTTAATCACAGGTTCTATATTTTTATGCGAGCAAAGTATATACCCTCACTTATTGATTGGTTTTTGTTCGCCAACAACTGAAGTGCAAGCGTAATACTAACCACAGAAGAATCCAAAAGTGAGCGCGTACACCACATAGGCTGTGAGAGATGAGAAGAAGGGAATGAGGAAGGTACTAAGTCCACATGCTAGGAAAGCCACTGCATTGAAGTAACAGGGATCCATGAACCCCATATCACCCACCACCCCCATCACCAGTCGTCCCACTGTGTTCGTCAGGCCTATGAGGGGGATGAAGTAGCTGGCCTGCTGGGGGGTCACACCTGGCACCTTGTCCACCACCAGGGTTGGCAAAAAGACAAAGGGCACGAAAAAACCTGAACAGCCACTCATGATATCAGTTGCATTAGGAGTACGCTACTATCATCCGGCTCTTTTTCCTCAAGCCCCTTCATAAAAACGTTAATTTTAATAGTTTTAAGAGAAAACCAACAAGTCAATAGCGGATTTATACTTAAAGGGTCTCCCTTTGGTACTCCTTTAAGACATCCATTTTTTGACTGTTCGAAACTAAAAATGTTTACATTAGGTCGGATAGTTCACATGCCAAATTGCATATTAACCCAACAAGGCGAATAAAAAGTGACAAACGGAAAAAGAGCCTGGCATTCTGCCCGCAAAATCGATTTGTATTATCCATTAATTAGTATCAAAGTTTTCGCAGTGCTCGAAGCAATTTCAATTTATCAAATTAACATAACATAGCCAAAAGTCAAGCTAGTTGGGAAAGTGTTAATGGACCAGGAAACCGTTAAAAAAACTTGTTCTAAAATTTTTCAACTTCCATCGAGCTGCAATGAGAAAAAAAATAAGGCCTAGACTTTTCCTGATGGAGACTTTTTTGATAGTGAGTAAACCTTATTTGAGAACACTGGGCAACTAAGTTGACCCTGATTTCTTTTGATCAAAACTGTACAATCTTTCCCAGACATTGGAATCATAAATGATAAATGCATAATAAATGAAAACAAGACTGCTCGTATCAGGGCAAAGCCCTGAATGTTCCGACTGCCTTTTAAGGTATATGGAGCAGCAATACCATGAAAAATTTAAATGTAATAAAATTACAAAAAAAATTGAGATTTTTTTGTGAAAACATCTCCCCACACGCCATATTAAGTACAAAGTGACAGATTTTGCTCCTATTAACAAATCAATTATGACATATAAGCTTCCTTGAACCAATTTGGAGCGATTTCTAAGTTGGATTAAATCTCCGCTTAGGCGTTAATAGCGCGAAATATATCGCGCGTTAATTGTCCCAAATTGGTCAAAATGGCAATCTTTAAACCCTCATAACTTTATGAAAAATGGTCACAGGTGAAATATCTTTTCAAATTTAAGCTCAGGGCAACAATAGCTTTTGAAAGATATTTTAAAAATGTCGTCAAAAATGGCTAGTTAAAAAGTCGAAATTTGTCTGAAGAAAAAAACCCACCCCGAGCACAAATATTCCGTTACTTTCGTTACGAAAGTCGGAACAAAAATATATTACAGTGCAGCAGAACAGTAAAAAAACAATTAAAAAGTCAAATTATAGGATCTATCCGTTAGCTCTACCATGTTTATAATGAACCAAGCCCTCTGGTTGTTCTTTCATGTTTAATTATTCATGCAATGGTGTATGAACAAATAACTTAGTAACTTAAAAACAAACAACAATAGTCGCATGAAAACATGATCTAAAAGTCGTTGAAACGTAAGTAAAAAAAACAGTACGTAATTCAATCCAACGCGAGACAGACGTCATTATTTAATTGTGAGTCATTATTTTCAAGCTGAAGTTAAAAAGCAGTAGACCTGAAAATAAAGACTAGTCTATATGCTGCATGCACTGTTTGCTATTCAGTTTATAATATTTCAATCGAGAGTTTTTCGTGAACTTTCGGTGATAGGTCAGTAAACCGATGTATCAGCAACCCGAAAACGGGCAGATCAGATCAGTAAACCGAAAATGAAATTACCCAATTTGATTTCTTTATGCGTTTATTTTAAACTGAGTAAGTACTAACATGACGCAACCGTTTACGTAAATGTCAAGTAATTGTTTCATAATTTGGTTTACTGAAATGGTAATATACTGATACATCTATTTACAGCACGCACACCGAAATTTCGTTCAGCGACCATTACTGATTAAGTAAAAGTAAAAAAGAAATCAAGAAGCTGAAAAATTTGAGTCTTCCTAAGTAATGACCAATTTATTGCTCTACTGGCCTTTTTATCAAGGAGACCAAAATGGCTCTCAATTTTAAAAATCCGTTCCTCAAAATAACACAAAAAGGAATTTCATGAAGTTTGGGGTGCAATCCAAGCGGAGGATACCTACTCTTTTCAACCAAAAGCAATCGCCAAGACGTAATTAGCCATATCGCTGAAGGCAGTTTCGCTTCTGGGAAGCAAAAGGTTTACAAATCTCACCCAGCATGAAGATGAAGTAGCTCAACATGAAGAGGAGGAAGCTCGTCTGCTTCATTAGCTTCATGTTCAGCATGTGTGCCAGCAGCTCTATCGTACTTTGAGGAGCGCTTGATTCTGGCTTCGAATTTTTCCCTTCTGACTGCTTTCCCGAGCTCAAATCGACAATTTTCTCCAACTCGTGTGACTTCTCGTGAAACGCCCAGGTTGAATTCAAGTTAATAATCGATCGCGGCGCTCTTTCTAAGTTCAAAGTACTTCCGCTGTAGAAAATGTCAAATCTTCTCAAAGGTCTTCTAGGCGGCACCATCTTTTTCAATTCTGCCTGGTCATCGGTCCCTTTATTTATCAGCACAGCCGGTATCCCGATCCCAGGCGATGCCGTTGGAATCGGAGTCTCCGGCTTGTTGAGATTCTCGGCCTTGGAGGCACCAAGCGACGCCTCGTTGACATGATTCTGACTTCCTAGCACCTCTTCTGAAGGGGCCAGAGCAAGACCCCGACTTGGTTTTCTGTTTTGGTTCCAAAGAAAATGTTGCATGAAATTTGAATACGATGATAATTTTTGTTGGTGTTCTGGTTTTTCTAGAAACGACGAACCCAAATGCGTATGGGAATTTTCCAGGGAAAATTGACTTCGTCCAATTGTTGCGATGTCATTGATTGATGTTTGGCCTCCCGTTATGTTCTCTTGCGAGAGCCTCCACATAGAGTTAGTCGCTGTACTATTTATACTAAACGCTGCCTTGCGAAACGCTTGCAGCCTAAGTCTTCCTGGATTGTGAAATACATTCCTTAGGTCACCTTGTTCAACAATATCACTCAAACTCATATGAGAGTCCGGTAGCTTGATAGCTGGAACAGGTTTCAAAAACACAACAGCCATTGTCATCAAGAAGTAAACAATGCAGAGAAATAACATAGCAGCTTTCCAATTTATATGGCCGATAAGAATAGATACGAAAGGCGGAAACAATACGGAGCCCAGACCACCTCCCGCTACTCCGAGACCCGTGGCCAGACCTCGTCTGGTGTCGAACCAAAGACTAAGTGCAAAGTGACATGGCAAAGTTGCAATGGTCGTGCTGATTCCAAACATCAGGCCCCATGAAAATATCAGAAAGTAAACGTTGGGTGCCAGGACACAGAATCCTAGAGCTACTGCACCTAATAGACATCCGCCAAGACTTACAGCACGAAGTCCGAATTTATCTACTAGAACGCTAGCAAAAGGTCCGAATAAATAACTCGACCCACCGGCTACAGATCCAACCCAGGTAACAACCGATTCATCGGCATTGAAATGTCGGATAAAATGGGGAAAGAAAACTCCGAATGAATAGAAAACTCCTTCAACAATTAGGAATGTGAAGAAAGAGATTGCAGTTATCGACCATCCGTAACCTCCGTTCGGGGCTCCTTGGTAAGGCAGGTTCGGAGTTTCGTCATCATCGTCGGCCCCAATACCCGATGCTAGAAGTCGGCTGAGCAGCTCGGGGTGCGTTCCCCCCATAAAAGAAGACCTTTGTCGGTGGAAATCTGTAGAGGTTGTGATTGATATGGCGTCATCGTTTGGCGACATAAGGGAAGTTGTATCAGCGTTGTGATGATACGGCGGGAGAGGCGTTGCTGCTGCATTTCCATCATCGTCCACCTCTTCCTCTTCGTAAACTGGAGGTAAATCTGTATTGGTATTGATTGCAGATGCGCTAACATTGCAACTCTGTTGGTCCTCGGTGGCATTGGCAACGACTGGGGTTGTCGTAACCGCAGCTACTGGTGTCGGTTCAATTTCCAGAACCTCATCCTCCAAAATTGGGGCTAACTCTGTTTTCTCCACTACTACGCGTCCTGATAGCTCCGATCCCGCGGAAGCATTAGATTGATTTGTTGCGGACGCGTTGTCCGGTGTCGCGTCTCCGGCAACTGAAGATGCTGCACTTGTGTCATCATCGTCAGTTTCGGTTACACATCCTGAAGATTGCGACTCTTCGTCTTCAATAGGGTCCATTTCTGTAGGGAATTTAATTTCTTCTCAAGTAAATACAAAATATTAACTTAGTTTCTGGTTTCGAATCTGGTATGTTTGGGGAAATATATTGCTTGCTACCTTTTCAAAAGGTCATTGGCTTTAAATAGTGATAACTTGGGACTATCGGGGAAGTAAGGATGAGCAGTGGCGAAAAAAACTCGGATCCGTCGGATGCTTTTTTCCTGGTAGAATTGTTCAACTGGTTTCCTTGTGACTCGCTGGTAGAATTGTTCAACTGGTTTCCTTGTGACTCGCTGGTAGAATTGTTCAACTGGTTTCCTTGTGACTCGGAGCTTTATTGCACCACTTTCGATTGAGTAGACATCAAGACTGGCTTTCTGGTGTAGCCGTTCGCTACCATTGCGTAGTTCAGGTCTTTGAGGCCTGCTCGCTTAAAGCGTACGTGGTCAACCACTCTGAAAATTTGACGAACAAATTAAAAATCACCATTGTACATTTCAGATAACAGCAAGCATTTAATATAAGATCCATACAGACAAATTAATCTCTTCGGAAGCTCATTTAAAATTAATCAGTCGATTGATTTTCCATTTTCTAACAAATCCTCTTAGTCTCGAAGCCTGTAACTTCCCAATTTAAATCCAGACATACAATGCTGCGTCTCAAGCGAAACCTACTTTAACACTCAGAGGAGAAATTCGATCGATTTGGTGAAAAACAGCAAGTGTAAATAAATTGCGGTCTATGCTTTTCTCTTTTTAGCGCACATTCAATAATTAATGCCACATGGTAGCAAAGCAAGTCAACGACACCAACTCAAATCCATCTCTCCAATATTATATTTGCACATTTGTCAAGCAAGGAATAAAGATCACAACAAATCTACTGCTAAATCCTCCTGTAAACCATCTTCTGGTGACAAGCATTACCGTTTGATTCAAATATTCATTTTCATCAAAGAAATCATCGGAGACAATTCAGTTGCTTTGTTTATCATTTTGGAAACTTATAATAGTTTTTCTGGTTTTTTGAGTTGCTATACAAATAAGTGCTGCATGTTTTTAGTTTAGCCGTTACATTCCAAAAAAGGAGCAGTAGATCTACTTAAACGGTTACAATAAAATCAATTAGCATCGTCTTGTGTGCTGGGTTGAAACACCTCTGCCAAGAACGCTTTGCACATGCTGGAAGCAGTCGAGTCCTGCAACTCGCGGCAGAAGCTCTGGACTTGTGCGGACAAGAGGACATTGTCCAGTCTAGGGGGTGGGGTGGGTAGCTTGAACATCTTGTCCAAATCCTCCTGCGGCAAGGGAGGCTCACCTCTCTTCTCTCGAAGCAGATTCTAAAAAGAAAGCATGAGCAACAGAAGAACTTATCTAACAGACAGTTGGGAAAGAGTCAATACACCCAACACGCGGACAAAATATCACTTTAAATTCAAAATATCACTTTTTTAAATTGTAATAGGAAAAAATGTTTGACCTCATTTTAACAAATGAACTATATTTGAACTCAAAGAGAACTCAAAAGTCAAACTGCAAAAGATCAAAATGAGCACAGAGGGGAAGCGGATTTTTGCAACACTTGCTATGCAAAAAACACATTGAGCTACAAAATAATGAATGAAAAAAAAAGACAGAAGTAAAAAAAAATCTGAAAAATTATGTTGGAATAAATTATTCGAAACAATAACTTGACAAAAGTAAAAAAACTAAAGCTATAAAAACTTCATTTTGTCTCTGATGAAGTTCATAAACAGCCCTTAAAAATGGAAGGCATTTAACAAGCGGCAAAAAGGAGACAAACTTTGGGTCAAAACCTGTTGAGCCGAAAACAAAACTTTTGTCATAAAAAACATAAAATTTATAAGTTCTTACAACCCACTCAAACTGAAACACATAATCCCAAACGGATACACTTTACCCTCGCAATTACACAAACTAAGTTGACTAAGTCGATAAAACATAAACTTGAACTGTTCGAATATTTAAAACGAAAAAAAAATGAAAAAAAAAAACTCGAAATCAGTTATGGTAAATTAACATATTTGTGAAGTTTCAGTTGTAGAAAAAAAATGTTCAGATTGGAACCAAACCCATGTTTTAAAAGTAAACTAATAAAAAACCGTTACAAGTACAAAAAAATGGCGTTTAACAAAAACGGAACTTGAACCGACAAAAACTAGAACGAAAACCACAAACCCTAAAAAAATAGAGAACATTCTTATAAAAAAAGATAATTACTAGCTGAAACGGGCTTGAACTAACTGCTAATTAAGTGATTGCCCTTTTATTTGAACTTTCAAGAAATTGAGCATGTCAGAAGAGCCTCGAGAAGTGTGGACAAAGTTGTTCACGGGATACCAGATTGCAATACATCACGTTTGTAAAAACCATCACGATCTATTTAAGTGTCTTTACTGCAGTCATTAACACTTAGCCATGTATCGAAGAATGTCTCAATATGAAACTTAATATCTTGTTGAACACTGAAAACAAAAAACGCAACTTATAATTTTGTTGTTTCAAAACATGCATATTCAATCACAGAAACTTTTTCCAAAATCATTTTATTATATCACATCTTAATAAAATTTGTACATTTACAGGAAATTTTAAATATTCACATTTTTTGATGAAATCAGATCAGCCCATTTGAAACACAAAACATAGCCAATAGACAGTTGGATAAGAGTCAAGGAACGCAAGTAAACAAAAAAAAACAGAATTGTTTTTTTTATTCTCTGCTTTCGAATTATGAAGTAAAAACGATATGGTCTTAACGCTCTTGAAATTTCTAGAACAAATCATGCTGACACTTTTTTGATAGAGTTAACCCAATTTATGAAAACTGAATCAGTATGTAACACTTTATTTCGCTGGGAAATCTGATGATTCTGAAATTCCTTTTTTCGCAGTTAGAAGCCATTTTTCCGTGACCTTTACATTTTCGCTGTTCGATAGTGGATTTTGCCTTCCTTTCAACAAAAGAAATTAAATGAACTGAGAAAAATCAAAAGTCAAACCGCTAAAAATTAAATATGAGCCTGAACAAATTTTAATACTTTTCCTAAAAAAAACTAAGAAAATCAATCGCGATTTATATAAGAGACAAAACTACGTTCATCGTCTCTTAACAAGGCGTGCTTAGCTTAAAAAAAGCAAAAACTGAAAAGCTGACAATTTTGACTTAGGAAAAAACATAAGAAAATTTCTTTACCGCAGGCTAAGGTGAATCTGACATTTTCTCGAGGGACATATGCTAAAAAAACGGATATTTTAGCCACTTTTTGAACCAGTTCGACCAAGTACATTTTTTTCTGATCTCATCTGAACCGCACAAACAGACCCAATGTCAACAAACATTTATGTACGGCCATCGATATATTTTTGAACATGCCGTATCAAAAAAATGATCCGAAATTCCGTTTTTTGAACTTTCGACCACTTAACCAGAAAATAACATTTCGTTGGCGTGGGCTCTTTCAAAAAAAGTACATAATAACACCACTAACTGACTCTGATCGCCGCAATCTGATTTAACTTTTGTTTTGAAAACATATTAGTCCTTGTTTATCAACTCGTGAAGCTGAAATTTACCCTTTCCTATACCAAAAAAAAACATCCGACACAGAGGCGAAATTGAACTACGCATACACAAGCAAAAACATGACCGAGAACACTACTGGGAAAACTGAATGAGTAAAACTTTAAGTCTATAAATTTTCTTAAGTGACGCACGCCAATTATGAGTCTACATAATTGCTAAATGACGCAAGTCAATTATGACGCATTGCAGTACCAGTCAATTTGAAAAAAAAAATGTACCAACTAACACGCCTCAATTTAGAGAGCGGACGCATTTTAATTAGAATACGAAAACTTTCATTAAAAACATCCGACCCTGCCCATGTTCGAACCCTCTTTTTTGTTGCGGTTCTCCTTCCCTACCTCTACGCTACAGATCCATGATACCTTAAAGCTTAAGTACAATTTGCAATAAAATAGTCTGTGTTAATATCCTTAGCATTGACTGTACTGGTTGTATAGCTGGTTATTGATCAAAATGAACACATTTGTCGCAACAATATGTGTTGAGAACTTGAGAAAACTGGATCAAAAGGTAAAGTTTTTATTCCGCTGGAAATCTAAAAATTAAATTGCACTTTCGAAATTAGAAATTGCTCACGTTTTTTCGCGGCCTTTCCACGTTCGTATTTGGAGAGTTCTATTTATGTAAATTCCAGCAGATGAATTTCAATTGAACACAAAAAAGGCATATATACAAAAGTGCACTCATAAATGCATTTATATGTATGAATGCACATCTTTTTAAGAAATCACCAAGACCTATAAAAGAGTCACTACGTTCATTACTCTTAACAAATTAGAAAAATGAACATAGCCAACAGACAGTTGGAAGAATGTCAATGAACTCAAGAAAACTACAACGATAAAACACTAAAACTTCATAAAAAAACTTTTATGATTGACACTGTTTTCATAAAACTAACTAAGAAAATCAATCGCGATTTATATAAGAGACAAAACTACGTTCATCGTCTCTTAACAAGGCGTGCTTAGCTTAAAAAAGGCAAAAACTGAAAAGCTGACAATTTTGACTTAGGAAAAAACATAAGAAAATTTCTTTACCGCAGGCTAAGGTGAATCTGACATTTTCTCGAGGGACATATGCTAAAAAAACGGATATTTTAGCCACTTTTTGAACCAGTTCGACCAAGTACATTTTTTTTCTGATCTCATCTGAACCGCACAAACAGACCCAATGTCAACAAACATTTATGTACGGCCATCGATATATTTTTGAACATGCCGTATCAAAAAAATGATCCGAAATTCCGTTTTTTGAACTTTCGACCACTTAACCAGAAAATAACATTTCGTTGGCGTGGGCTCTTTCAAAAAAAGTACATAATAACACCACTAACTGACTCTGATCGCCGCAATCTGATTTAACTTTTGTTTTGAAAACATATTAGTCCTTGTTTATCAACTCGTGAAGCTGAAATTTACCCTTTCCTATACCAAAAAAAAACATCCGACACAGAGGCGAAATTGAACTACGCATACACAAGCAAAAACATGACCGAGAACACTACTGGGAAAACTGAATGAGTAAAACTTTTAGTCTATAAATTTTCTTAAGTGACGCACGCCAATTATGAGTCTACATAATTGCTAAATGACGCAAGTCAATTATGACGCATTGCAGTACCAGTCAATTTGAAAAAAAAATTGTACCAACTAACACGCCTCAATTTAGAGAGCGGACGCATTTTAATTAGAATACGAAAACGTTCATTAAAAACATCCGACCCTGCCCATGTTCGAACCCTCTTTTTTGTTGCGGTTCTCCTTCCCTACCTCTACGCTACAGATCCATGATACCTTAAAGCTTAAGTACAATTTGCAATAAAATAGTCTGTGTTAATATCCTTAGCATTGACTGTACTGGTTGTATAGCTGGTTATTGATCAAAATGAACACATTTGTCGCAACAATATGTGTTGAGAACTTGAGAAAACTGGATCAAAAGGTAAAGTTTTTATTCCGCTGGAAATCTAAAAATTAAATTGCACTTTCGAAATTAGAAATTGCTCACGTTTTTTCGCGGCCTTTCCACGTTCGTATTTGGAGAGTTCTATTTATGTAAATTCCAGCAGATGAATTTCAATTGAACACAAAAAAGGCATATATACAAAAGTGCACTCATAAATGCATTTATATGTATGAATGCACATCTTTTTAAGAATTCACCAAGACCTATAAAAGAGTCACTACGTTCATTACTCTTAACAAATTAGAAAAATGAACATAGCCAACAGACAGTTGGAAGAATGTCAATGAACTCAAGAAAACTACAACGATAAAACACTAAAACTTCATAAAAAAACTTTTATGATTGACACTGTTTTCATAAAACTAACTAAGAAAAGAAAAGTCGGTCACTGGGTAATTTTTTGTTCATTGCGCTGAGAGCTCTGAAATTTGAAAACATTCACGATTTTTTGCGCAATTTCGGAATTGGAGAACGTAATTTTCCCTCCCTTTAGCAAATCATCTAGAATTGAACTTGAAAAGATATCAAAATCCAAAACACAAAAGTTGAAGCACGAACAACTTTTTCTGAAAAACAAAAACCACAACCTAAATAAATGCCTTAATTTTTTAATTGGCACTCAGAAAAAAATTCTAAATATTTTGTATATTTTTCAAACTTTTAGCATAAAAAATAAGGGTTATTAAACTCTGCGCTACTTGCACAGCGACGGTTCTGTCTACACTAGATTGAAAGCTTGCCTCTTCAACTTTCATCGGAAAGCGAACTTCACTTTTAGCAAACATTTTTTTATAGCGAGAATTCGTCAAATAATCTACTGGCAGAAAAAGTTCATCCCGTCTATCCAAACAGACTAAGTGGTATACTAATTGAAAAAAAAAAGATTTAAAAACGAATTTGAGAAAATGCTTAGCTCTAAGTTTCTTTGATAAATAAAAATTTTGTGTTCTCTTGACTTGTCTTGATAAATTAACCAAATCATTTACCCTAACACTTTACTAGCAGAGCGTCTGCAAAAAAGATACTCACTTTAGACATATTAAATCAAAACCAAAGCAAATTAACCACAATTCACCAAATTCTGATGCAGAAGAAACACTTGAAATCGTTTGCATTTACATATCAATTTAAATTTGACACACAAACAATTCAATTGATTTGTCGATCAAAATTCAATTTAGACTCCAATAAAACCATTTGAATGCATATCGATCACCATAAAAACTGAATGATTAACCTCTTGTTCCTTCTTGTACTGATGTTGTTGTCTGAGCTGCTGTTGTTTTATGAGTCCCTTGTAGTAGTTGGCGTGTTTGCTAGACTCGGCCGACATCCGGTCCACATGTTCCGACAACAGTCTCAGATTCTTCTCCAAGCCAAACCTTAACAAGATGAATGAAAGAGATCGAATTGAAAGAGCATAAAAACCGTTAATACCAATAAGCATGATTTAGCAAAGCTGTATTTCAATGACACGTTAACGGAATTAAGTTTATTAGAGCTTCAAGCCCTCAATTGCCCGTCGTGAAACTGGAAACAAGAGAATTAAAAGGAGGCTACCGATTGAACAATTTATTTCCCTCACAGGTAAATGGTTCAGAAAAGGTACAAAAATGCAGTTTTTGAGCACTTTCTGGATGGTTCTGACCAAAGAAAATTTCAAGACATTTGCGCCAAAAATGCAATTCGAAAACGATTGCAAACAGACAGCAATTAAATGCCAAGAGACGTGTTAGTGTCAAGTATTCCGGAAAGATCTTTAAATTTCCAGAACATTCCATGACCCGAAAATTGAAATCCGGAAACTTTTTTCGACTTTTAAATTTATCCTCCGCCTGTAAATTTTTGAAAGCAAACTTTCGGTTCACAATGTCAAATTGTTTCAAAAATTGATTTGACACGCGGACTAATTCGGCCATGACAAATAAATTTGGGCTTCATAATTAACCTTGTAAAACCCCTCATTACAACAGAAAAATTATGCTTATGTGAGGTGGGGGAAAAGGAAAAAAAGGGAAATCTGAGAATTGAAATTCATTGTTGAAATTAGATTTTCATTCATATCTCTTCGCTCCATCGAACTTAAGTTATTCAAGTGTGGAATTTTCCTTCTTTGAGCATATGAATTTGAAATGAACTTAAGAAATCAAAAACTTCATGAAAAAATTAGAAACCAACACACATTACATAATTCACTACGTTCTTAAACGCATAAAAAAGCTGTTATCCATTTTCATTACGATATAAAATTGGCAAACATTTGTTCGTGGTAATTTGCATGAATGAAAATGGGTTACAAGTCGTTCACACTGACAGGTTTTATGATTTACAAAAGCGTAAGTCATTGTAAAATGCGTTTGAAAAAAAAACAATTTTCAAACACAGAACCAAGTGGTGCTTCGCACCATTTGCGATACAGCAGAAAACAAGCATGATAAACTAACTGATAAGACACGGGACGAAAAAAAGATCTACTAAACTCATTTCTATGTCTGAGTTTGTCTTGAAAACATCATTCTAAGATTGCGTTTTTTAGCTTTCAATTTTTGAAATCTGTTCTTTAAAAGGATGCAACAATGAACTACAAGAAAATTGGGGTGCAATCCAGGCGGCAGATACCTACTTTTTTCAACCAAAGGTAATCGTCAAGACGTAATTAGCCACTTTGCTGGATGTAGTTTCGCTTCTGGAAAGCAAACAGCTAATCGCGAGCATAAAAATCGCATGCGTAATGATTTCATGCAGCCGAATGAACAAAGTAAAACCTGAAAAAATTTAAATATTTTTAGATAACACTTTATTCAAAAACCAGATTTCCGCATTAAATGTTAACTCAATTACCACCACAATTGAGATAATGGCATTCGGTAGGGAAGAAGAAAGATGATCCTTCAAAAAAATCGGTGGTTAGAAAAACTAAACCGACAAAATTAACTGAGACAAAGCTACAGCTCCGCAAACACAAGCAAGAAAGCTGCAAAATGTTCGGGAGCTTCAAAGAGCAGAAAAACACAAATTTTGCCTCTAATATTTTGGAATTGAATAAACTAACGGCAACTACACTAAAATTTCAAAAGATTCGCAAAATATAGAGAGTTGGAAATTTCTGAAAACGAGATTTTTTTATTTTTTAAATTGTATGAAACAAACAACTTGTTTCGCTTTAAATGATGATTTAAGAAAGAATCAACCGTGTTAATTCATTACAAATCAAATGTCAAAGCACATGTTATTATAGTGGTAATGCAGTTTCCTGAATAAAATATGCCACCAAAAAAAAACTTTTTTATTTGCGACTAAAGATGGAAAAAAGTTGCATCGTACTATCAAACTACTATAAAGTTAGTACCTAGTTGCAATAAACTTGCTAATTGCATGAGTCAAAACTGAAAAGGGGCAAACATAAGGGTCAGTCCGTCCCAAGTATTTGGTTAAGTTGGTGTGTTGTCAATCCTTTCCGTTGTTAAGGATTTGAAAGCTCATGTAACCTTGCTTTAGCGGGAAGTGCCGACATGAAAGTCAAAACTCAAAAAAATTTGGCGCAGATTCCGTCAAAATCATTTAATCAGTAATTTTTTTTTGACAGGAAGGCTGCTCATAGTTGGATTTCAATCCTCATATTCTCTCCTCTTCTTATTCGAATTTCTTTGATATATACATTCGTTAAAAGTATTTGTTGATTTTGTTAGGACCATTATATTTTTATTCGGCGAGATAAATAATTTCTTTCTTTCCAAATGGATGTCGAGAAAAAACTAATGAACAAGGGGTTGATTTGGTGATCGCGGATGCTCCTTCATAAACCCACATCTGTTTAAGGGTATTCATTAAAAATTCATATCAAAAACTTGAAACTTTTGTTTTCAGTTGTCTGACGATCTCAATCGAACTTATCTTAGACAAATGCTGTCAGCGATTTTGCTCTTTTTCTAAAAATAGCCCTTCGCTTGAATTTGACACATGATTTCATTTTGGACTTGCTTTCAGAAGCGGTTTCTTTTAGTGTTATTTGTGGCGTCATGAATTAAGAATCTCATTTCAATTCAAAACAGATTCTATATTCCATGCTACAATAGCATGCGAGAGCTCCGCGGGAAATCTAGTCAAATAAAATAAAGGCAGAGAAATTCCTCAGTTTCATTTACCGTTAAATAAGAGAAGTAACAGTGTATTTTACGTGGTAATTCAGGAAACGAACGTCAGATCGATAGACAACCCAAGTAGTGATTAGAAAATCCTGTTTCCCTTGAGCTAGCTGGAATAAAACCCTATGCTTAGTCTAACGAGACCAAGGCATCAGGTACTATATAATAAGGGAGGAGAAGAGTTCCGCTATCATAAAAGCTGAGAAAAGATTTTAAAGCAATTACTTGCGCATGAAAAGACTTCGTTCACTTGCGTATGAAAAGACTTCGCTCAGTAGCATAAACTTGGGATGAATTTACATATCTTATCATTTAGCGTAGCTGTCGCATGTCTGAGAATTTTCCACCCCTCAAGGCTGAACAATTCAATAGGAGGAGTAAAGAACCTTCGGGCAGGTAGATCCCAACGGGACAATGTATCGTTATCACAAATGGTTAGGCAAAGATATGCTAATGAAGCCATTCATGAGATTTCTAATATCACTGTGTATCACGAGTGACAATACCTCGAGGTACTAAAGTATTTGAAAAGGAATTTGATCGAAACCTTGGCCTCGCTTGTTTGAAAACCATGAACCTTGCCGGCGGACTGTGTTAATGACGCAAGAAAAGTGTGCTTCAAAACTGGCGAAATAAAAAACACCATGAAAAATCTAACAGAGGCCAAGCGGAGCTTCAGTCTACTTCCGCAACACACATGACAAAAGCTGTTAGAATTTAACTGAAACATTTCAGATGCCGTTACCTATCAATTCTAGACAAGTGAAAAAGTTCTGATGAACGAAATAAGGGCAACGGAAGATTCCATCCATCCACATCAGCACTGCAAACACTAACAAAAAACATATATATATTTTTTATTGCACATAGCGGAACAAAAAAAATCTTATCGGTTACAAAAATTTTTATCAGCTTGAAAAATCGGATACAAAAAATCAAAATAAAAGTTGAGTGATCGCATGTGTAAACCCTTTGCGTTTCGCCTCAAAAAACACAAGAAGTAAGGACAATAAGAAAAACGCATGGAATTTGCTCAATCAATGAATTACACGTATACGAACTGCTGAAATTACTATCTAAAATAACGAGACGAGAACATGAAAATGACAAAAGGAACAACGGCATTTCAAAAAAAAATTAGACAAATCACTCGATACCACTAGAAGAATAAAATCATGAACAAAAAAATTAACACGAAATAACAAAAAATTAATATCTGTGGGAATACGGACACTATATAACTCTCTAATTAATTTCAACATGAATACCATTAACGAAAATTTAATTGAGCCTAAACAGTCTAAAGACAACCTTATGCATAAAATCAGACCTACATGTTTAATTCATTGCGACTACCTCAACAAATTGTTTTGGTAAAAAAAACTATTGAGATAGTAATTGACATAAAGCAAATAACATAAAATATAATTTTCAACTCTAAAAACTGTTTTGCTTCTTTTCTTTGCTCGTATATATTTCTGAAAAACAAATTAATAAGATGCAAGATAAGTGAACAGTAAATTTCGAAATTTCAGCTTTTTTAAATCTAGTATATTTTGTTTCTGGATAAATATTACTTAGACTAAACAATCAGGTCCATATAAGATAGTACTTAATAGAAAGTTCTCAGCGGCTCTTCAGCAAGTTGAATTACCTTCTGCGCTTGCGCAAGTTGGTGCTCTTTCAAAGATAAGTTTTCTGGAGTGTTGTATTATTGCACTACTTGAAACAAATTTTTTATAAACAGATTTACAATACCTATGTGCAACCAGCCTAGCGCCCAATTAGTCTGAACAGCAGATACTCAGACAAGTTTTCTCGGCACAAAGATTTTCTTTACAGAGATGTTCACATATATTTCAATGATGCTCGATTATTGAATTATGTGCTATTAAATTTTAAATAAATTGAGTTGAACGAGTGAACCAATGGTTCAAATGAAGAATCAATTCGAAATCCTTCAAAACGCATTTAAGCCTGATTGCGCCAAAATAGTAAGGCAAGTCAGTCCATAAAAATTTACTAACAACAGTAACGCTGAAAATGATAACTATATTTCAACGACTTGCCTCCAAAATGGAATGGTCAAAATAGCTTCCAGCCCATCATAAAAACAATGATCTTCGAGCTGAGCATATAGCAGTAGGATGGACTATGGCTGAAGCCATCCACGACGTCGCAACTTATTCAAGCCATCAATCAACAGTGAACCTGATAAAGACACGGGACTTTACTCT